ACAGTGAGAATAGTAGGACTAAGGGACACAAGTATAAATTTTGGTTGGGTAGGAGTCATCTTCAGCTAAGACAGTTTTAATTTTCTAACATGGTGGTTGGCTTTTGGGATGGTTTGCCTGCAGATGTTGTGGAGACAGTAAATTTGACTGTGCTTAAGAGAAAGTTTGATAAGTATATGAATGATAAGGGCTGACTAAGATTTTTTTTTTCTAATAATAGTTTTAATTTAGTTTAGAGGATGGGACAGCCAAGTTGGACCAACAGGTCCCATGTTGTCCCAAAACATTTTTATGTTATAAATGAGTTTTTTGATAATTTTTTTCACAGTTAATATTGGTAGTAGGGAGGGCAAATGTTATCAGACTTAAAAATACTTGATACTAATTAGTACAATGTAATTTTTATTGTGAGCAGCTTTAGAAATGACTGTGATATACAAATAAATGTGTCTGTATCTACTTCATGTAAAATACAGTTATAATCTAGTTATAAAAGTTTCATTATCTTTTTGTTTCTTTGTCATAGGTTGATCTTCTCTGACAAAAATTCTAGAAACTTGTTTTTGTTTCTGATTCTGAATCTGTCCTTTGCTTTTGTTGAGCTTTTGTATGGAGTGTGGACAAACAGGTAATAATTCTTTTTGTTTTGTCATAAGTATATATAATTTTTATTTTATTTTTCACAAACATTACATTAGGAGTTTCGAATTCAGAAAGTTCAGATGTATCTAGTAAGAAGTGAATGTTTAAAGAAGCAGGATCACATGTCAGGAAACTATATTGCAAGAAATAGCTCAGTATTAATTTTTGAAATTTTTTTACCTTTTGTTAAATATCAGGAAATAATACAATACAGTGTCTATGAATATAATTTGTGTACTTGCAACACTAACTTGTTTCACATGACTGCATAACAGTATAATAAGCTATTAAGTAGTATGAAAGGGCATACTGGTCATAATCAGACAAAGCAGATGTGTAAAGGGTTCATGTAATAACAGGTGATAATGGAGTTTTTAATATAGTTCCTTCTTGAACTTTAAATATTTCATTTCACTACAGTAACAAACAAACTGGCAGGAATGATTGTGTTGAAGAATAACTGTTTACAGAAGTTTTTTGCTTGTGTTTTTGTACTTGGAGGTGAAGACTATTTCTTCTCTGTGTAATCTGTAAAATGATAGGTAATAAGAAATCTTAAAAAATGAAAAGTGCTGATTTGTTTAAAAAACAGTTTTAAGTGTAAAGCTCCTCATCCAGATGAGATACTATTAAGCCAAAGAAATTAGAGTGTAATGGGTTTAAGCAGTTAGGTGTATTTGTCAAAGATCACTGAAACAGAGGAATTTGTGATGCTTCAGAAATTACTAGGGATTGCTTCATTTTATAAAGAGAGAGATTAAGGGATGATCAAAGGAAGAATTATAGATCTATTGGTTTAACTTTTGTTCTTGTTTTCATGGTTTTTAGAATTAATATAGTGATAAGATAAAGGATTATTTTGACAAATAATACTTGAAATTGTTTTAGCAAGTCTCTTGTCTCTTCTTGCTTGAGTTCACTTTTGCTTTTACTCATTAATTTTTAGCTGTGGCATAGCGGCTCATAAAATAGCACTGAGTTTTTCAATTACAAACTTTTAGCTCGTGCCTCCATACTCTCTTTATGTAATTTGAGATCTAATTACAGTTTTTGTACTCAGGAGGTCAAACACTTTCGATTGATGCATTTGACTCTGTCCAAGGTCTCATAGATTAATTTATTGTAATCCTGCCTAAAAGAATTTCAAGTACCTTGGCTTTTGAGTATTCCCTCTTGTTTTACTCAAGTTTCAGACAGCATTTGATAAAGTACTACGTAAAAGATTGATTTTGATGTAACACTGGAAAAGGTAAAAACTGTTAAAATTGATTTGGTTAGAAAAAGTAGAGGCTAGTAATACATTTATACTTTTCTGTGTGAATTAAACTTATTGAGGTTCCTCAGTGACATTTCAGAATCTGTGTAAAGTATATAACGTAGACTCAATAGTTTTGAGTTTGTTAGTAGTAGTAATTAGTATAGAAAAGCAGTTGCTCCAACAAATATTTTGTTAAAAGTTTCTTGTCAAACTCTGTGAATGTTTAAGAACATGGAAAATGTGTTTAAAAATTGGGAAGAGTATATGTTCATGCTCTTTGAGTATAGAAATTTAGAATAGACTCATTATATTACTACAACTTGTTCTATGAGAAGAATGTTGTTTTTATGTAGACTAGAAAGGTTTGGACATAAGAGGTAGAAAAGCTGAAAACCTTTGGTTTTGCCTTTCTGTGGTAACTGGAGATCTGGTTTATAAGGTCTGTTTGTCTAGAATTTGTGTAGGTTAAGAACAAGAGACTATGATCAATTTGCATTATACATGATAGATATCAGTTTGAACACTGTTTAGTAAGTCTCATTACAGAAAGAAAGTTGATCTACTAGCAATCAGAATAGTGCTACCAGATTGATAAATTATTTAAAATGTGAGGGTAGGTTTAAATTTCTCTCACTGGAGTTTGAAAATAGTTAGAGTTGATTTAAGTTTTAAAATCCTTTGGATGCTTTCTTAAACTATCTATAGTTGTACATTTATTTTTGGTCTACTAAGACAGGTAATAAGTAAATGTTTTAATAACCTAAATTCATTCTTAGATTGACATATGATAATTTTTGTTCTTTTAATTTTTCTTTTAGTTGGATAAGCATGTTGATATAAAAGATTACAGGGTTTCTTAGTTGCCATGACGGTGCATATGTTATATTCAGTAATTGTGTTAAAAAGGTATACTGACAGAGGAAGAATGGTAATAAGAAAATTATAAACAGAATAAATAAACAGTGTTAAAGTAAAATGAATAATGTTGTGTTATTAATTCTTATCTAAAAATCTGATATCTTGCTATAATGAACATAGTGTGTATGTCAGTATCTATGTATGTAACCAAAACTTCTGCACCATCTATTGAATGGCACCACAAACAAAAATCCATAAAATATTTCACACTTTGGATATTCAAGATTCAGACAATTAGAAAAATAACTGTAGAACAACCATTTCTTTATAATAGAACACAATTTTAAATAAAGTACTCTCCTCACAACAAGAACACGACTTTCACTAGGACTGTACGTGAGGGTTTGATTATATCTTTATTGATTTGATTTTTAAATATAGTACTGAGAAACTGAAGTTCTTAAAAAAAGCTAAATTTGTTTTTCAATAAACAGTACCACTTTTACTATATAAAAACATTACTGTTTATATCAGTAAAATTTATAAAAATTTTGAGCTCTGTATGTTGAATCATTTTGATGCAATAAGTTATGTATGGCTGAAGAGCACAATTCCAACACTTCCCATGCTGTGCTTCCCAGAAAAAAAAATCCATTTTTTAGAAAATGTTCACTTTTTCTAAATATTTTTTTCAATGAGATATGAATACTATGATTAGTAACTACTAGCACAAATAGCTACCTACAGGTTGGTGTTTCTGCTAGTGTATATAACTTAAATAAAAGTAGCAATAATTACAATTTACTTGTGTAATATGATTTACACCCGAACAGTTGTTTCTCAAAAGTTGTGCCCTGGTATTGTGCAAGAGATCTTGTTGGCACTGGATAATGGCAGATGCAGTGTGGTTAATATATTATAACATTCTTTGCTTTCACTCATGGGTTATTAGAATTTATATTGCAAACCTTAGTAATATGTTTATTGTTTTTGTGAACTTTTTTCTCGCATAATTTTGGAAATAGTTGTTAACAGTACCATGTTTTTCTTTCTTGAATTTTTTAACTTAATGTATACTTATATGTTCTTGTCTTTTTTTCCAGCTTAGGTTTGATATCAGATTCCTTTCATATGTTCTTTGACTGTACTGCCTTGTTGGCAGGGCTAGCTGCTTCTGTGATAACCAAGTGGAGAGCCAATGATAGATTTTCCTATGGGTGGGTTTAAAGAGAACTTTTAGGTGTAGAAATACTTGCTTAGGACTACTTAAGTAATTTAATACTGCTATATTATCACACACTCAAAGATTGAAATCCAGCATTTTTTGTCTTTAAGTAATTAATAATGTGATTAGGTAAATGGTTGATAATAAAATGTTCCAATAAATATCTAGTGATCTTAAGCCACATTCCTGTAAAAAAAAAATGAACATGTTTATTTTTTAAAACTATTTAGTGATGTTTTTTGATTGATTACAGATATATCATTTTCTTGGGAGTAATGGTTTATATTGTTTCAGTTTTTCAATTATAGCTGCATTTCTGACTTTTAAAGGACAAGGGTTTATAAAATGGGATTTTTCCCCACTCTTTGAAATTTCTTTATTTACATATATTGTGTTCATCTTATCCAACAGATATTGAAAACTACAAGGATGACTACAAAATGGCTTTTAATCTTGTCCATAACTCATCCATAAAAATATCACACTTCACATATTGTGTATGTTAAATGTTCACATTCCACATTCATTCATTATCCAATTTATCAAAAATGCCATTGATTTTCATATTATCTTGAACATCATCAGGCAGAGGTCACATTAACCCTCTTGCTATGGGCAAGTCAAAGTGCACATGTCATGACTTTTTGGAGTGTTGCATTCAAAGTCTAAATAAATTATTATCATGACATATGAATGAACTTGTCATAAAAATGTTAACAAAACAAATTTTAATATTATACAAGTTTTAAGTTCTTAATTTTATAAGGAAATAAAAAAAATCCTCAGTCTCACCCAAGTATGAGAATTGTGACATTTGCTCTCTAGGTTTCACCCTCTTCTCCAATTTATTTAACATCCTTCTGAAGAGTATGGAATTTAACATAAAGTACTCATAATATTGTTATTACACAGACATAGCATAATTTTCAGAGCTTTCAATCTTATTTGGTTATTGAGCCATGTAATAGAAAATCAGACCCTTCTTCCTATGCCAATCTGTCACATCTTCTTATTCACAAATTGCCAGTAGTTATCTTTGAAGTTTAATACTATATTATTAATCATAAATAGAAAGTCAAAGCTCAAATATATATCAAATGATGTATTATACTACATTGTTTTCTGTGCAGAGAATTGTCTATTTTGCTTCCATTTCAAACTTCATTCCCATGGGAAACACATCAAAGAGTTTAGGTGAATTTTTAACAGGTCTTATTGGATAGTTAGAAAGCCAGAAAAATTATGATAGTTTTTGGATATTGTCTGATTTTTACGTGTTATTATTCTGTATTCTTAGGTGCATTTTTTAATTAAATAAAAATTTATTTAGTGTAGTAGTACCATTAATATAAAAAGTAGGATTAAGTTTCATTGACAGTCGACAGCAAAAAAAAAAAAGAAGAAAACCCAGATAAGTACTATATTTCTTGTTTTTCATGTGTATACTTTATTTATTATCATAAAAATAATTAAAATGTAAAAGTATGAAACTTTTTAGGTTAGATTAGGTAAAATAAAGAAAAAATAATAATGAAAACTTTTCATGAGGTATGCTCATCAGTAGCTCTTTCTTACATTTGCTGAGTGACTTACAATTTGATAGAAGAGTGGCTGGATGGAAGATAGCTGAGAGTTCAGCAAATGGAGTTCAGTCAAACTGGATTAATGTTGCAAGTGGGGTTCTTCAGGGCTCAGTCTTAGGACCTTTGCTCTTTCTTTGATTTACATCAGTGACATAGATGAAGGAATGGTCAATAAATTACTTAAATTTGCAGATGATATGAAGGTCTTGGGTGTTGCTAGCTGTGAAGAGGATGCTGCTGATTGACAAAAGGATTTAGATCATTTAGTGAGTTGGGCAAATAAATGGCAAATGGGTTTTAATTATAATAAATGCAAGATAATGCATGTGGGTTATCATAATTTGAATGGAAATAACCTTAATAGTGTCAT